AAATTACCTAAAACAGATGTAGTCAAGCAAATAAAAGGAAACTTTTCTTTAAGATTTACTTTATTGTTGTTATAGAGGTGAAGTACTGAGGGATTACAATTACATGAGTCAGGTAAGGAGTACATTTCCCTTCCTACAGTGTCTTTTGTTTCCTCATTCTGTCCCTCTCATCTTCACCTTTTAGTTGTATAGTTCACTTTCAATGTCCACTGTGCTCCATTGTTGCACTTTTTTTTTCATTGTTGCACTTTTTCATCCTCTTTCCTCAAGTTTTGTGCCCTCCCCCCAGCCCTCCTGCAGATATACATGTGAGTACACTGTATATGTATATGTATATATGTATATACATATATATGTATATGTAGGGAATACAGAATCATGAGAAAAATGAAAAGCAATTTAAAGAAAGTCTAAAATGGAACTTTTGAACATGCAAAGCTAAAAAAGACTGATTCCTCAATTTCTCACTTTTTTTTTTTCAGACAATCTCATTATATAGTTCAGGCTGCCATCAACACAAATACACAGTCCTCTTGCCCCAGCCTTCAGTGTAGTGAGGATTACAGGTATGTGCCGCCACAGCCAGCTCTTACCTTAATTTTGAAAGAAAAATATTTGATTGGCAATTCATTTATATTCATTACAGAAGTCAGAAAAATGCCGGGCACTGGTGGCTCATGCCTGTGTAATCCTAGCTACTCAGGAGGCTAAGATCTGAGGATCATGGTTCAAAGCCAGCCCAGGCAAGAAAGTCCGTGAGACTCATAGCTCCAATAAACCACTCAAAACTGGAAGTGGCACTGTGACACAAGTGGTAGAGTGCTCGCCTTGAGCTGAAGAGCTGAGGGACAGAGCCCAGGCCCAGAGTTCAAGCCTCATGACCAACAAAAAAAAATAAAATAAATAAAAAATAAATACACTGATGAATGAGAATTATACAACTCATAAATGGAGATGGGAGGAGGAACTGGGGAAGAGTGAGGGAATAGAAGACACTATGAAAGGAAATGTACTCATTACCTGACTCATGTAATTGTAATCCCTCTGTATATCATAATCTCTATTTAAAATTTTTTTTAAAGAAAATACACAAAAAAAAAAAACTAAGAATCACCTATGCTCCACTACCCAGTGGGAGCTATTAGAAACATTTTTCCCTGTAGTAATTTGGTATTGTTTCCTCATGAAGTGCTCCTATAAAAAGGTTCATAGGTGCAACACTGGTAGAGTTGCTGAGGGGTGATTGGGTCATAAGGGTGCTAACTTTATCAATGAATTAATATATTCATGAGGGCATACTAGATGGGGTATTGGGAAGTAGGGCCTGGTTGGAGTAAATACTATGCCTCTGAGGGGTATATCTTGTTCCAAAACCTTTCCTTTCTCTCTACTTCCTGGTTACTTTCTGCCATGATGTTTCTTGTCACGGGCAATAAAGCTAGACCAACCATTGACTGAAATTGTGAACTAAAATGCACCCTCCTCTTCTTTTTTCTTGCCAGTCTGGGGCTTGAACTCAGGGCCTGCTTTGTGTTGTTGTTGTTCAGTACGGTTTGAACTCAGGGTCCTGGCACTGTCCCTGGACTTTCCTGCTCAAGGCTAGTGCTGTACCACTTTTAGCCACAGCACCATTTCCCATTCTTGAGTGGTTAATTGGAGATTAGAATCTCCCAGGGATTTTTCTCCCCCAGGTAGTTTTGAACTGCAGTGCCCAGATCTCAGCCTCTAGAGTAGCTAGGTTTGAGCCAAAGGAACCAACCCCTTTCCCCCATTTCTTTCTCCTCTCTCCCTCTCTCTCAGCTGGAAATTGAACCTAGCACTTTGTTCTTGCATGCAAGACTTGAGTTATGCACCCATCCTTCTTCCCATACTTTTTTTTTTCCTTGATGAGGGGGAGGGCAGTTTTGCTACCTTTGCCCATGATGGCATGGAATTCATGTTCCCCGTCTCTAACTTTCAAGTGCTGGAATTATAGTCATGGACCACCATACTCTGTCTCATTTCCCCAAATAAATGTTAAGTACATGATTTTAGTGACCACGCAGTATTGCATCATATGGAGATATCCTAAGTTACTTAACCTGTTCCTTATTGTTAGATTTTTAGCTCTCTAATTTTTATCCATTATAAATGATGATATAATAAACATCTTTATTTTAAAAACTCTACATTTGATCTGGGAAGGTGGCTCAGTGGTAGAGTGCTTGCCTTGCATACATGAGGCCTTGGGTTTGATTCCTCAGCACCACAGAAGCAGAAAAAGCTAGAAGTGGCACTGTGGCTCAAGTGGTAGAGTGCTCACCTTGAGCTGAAGAGCTGAGGAACAGCACCCAGGCCGAGTTCAGGCCCCATGATTGACAAAACAAAAACAAAAAACCTCCACATTTGATGACTTCTTTGCAATTCCCAGAACTAGTTTAAAGGAAAGAAAACTATTTTTTTTCAAGATTTTGGCTTCTCAGTCTTTTGATATCATTTTTTGGAGACAATGGATATGTGTATTAACTTTATTGTGGTCATATTAGTGTTTGCATACGTTTTGACATCATAATTTACAATTTTACAATTCATTTTGCTCTGTTTGAAGTGACACACACTTAAGTTCATAGTCAATCCTATGCAAGACAGTTATGTCTCTAAGGATTAAATTTTCTGGTACGAAAAAAACCCATGGGAAAAACAAAACAGAATTTCAAATCATATCTTCGGGAAGCTCTCAAGGATGAAAGAAGGCTCCAGTATTGTATTGGTCTCACACTAAACCTAGGTCAAATATTATTCTCCAAGTGAAACATCCTCCTCTGAAGTTGCACTCCAGGAGTCTAGTGGCCCACAAGTCCTCATACAGTAGGGAGCTGTCAATGCCTAGACACCCTACCTCTCCTAAAATATAGTCCTCAGAACTGTAAACCACTTCTGTCAGAATAGCAACAGTTAACATTTACACACTGAAAGAGTCAAGCTGCTGCCAGATTCTTCAACCAGAAAGGTAACAATGTAACAAGATAATTTGCTAATTCAAAGAGAGCAACATAGGCAGATTATGGCTTTGCAGAGATAAATCTCAAGGCTTTTGTTGCTCTGTCCACTATAATTTGAGACTATATTGAAAAAAAATAACTGGAAAAGAATTGAGATATGAATAACATCCAGAGATTCCCAATCACTTGCAAAATCATAGTTCTTTGGACTTTCAGCTCTTTTCCCCCATTCTGAAGAGAACAACACTTATCTGGAAAGCTGTAGAACGGGGAAGTTACCAGCCATCATAAAAATCTGCAAAACAACTTGCTAACTAAAATACAATTTTAAATTTGCAAATTTTCATGGCTGGGCTTATTGTTGCTTAAATACATGTGAACAGAAATTTTGTAAAAAAAAAAATAATACAATTGCCTCGAATATTTTCCCAAGCTCTTAGGAAAATTTTAGTAAAAGTTTTAAACTGATTTCAACTTAGTAATGTAGAAACTAAGTTAACGTTTTTTTTAAATATAAAGATGTCCAGAAAAATAATTTGGAACTCAAAAATCTAGGGAAGTGATTAGTACCCTAAATTCAAGTCTGTTTCTTCCTTTTCTAGAAAAAGCATCCTTGAGATGTATATACACGTGTATACATATGTTTATTAGCACAAATTACCGGTACAAAAGCATGCTTTCCATTGTGACATTTGACATTTTCATACACGCAAGTAACATACTTTTTTCTTAGGTTCCTGAAGCATGTATTTGTACCGATGACGTTTTTCATCAGCAGCTTCTTCAGGGAGACATGGTAATTGTTGTAGATTTCTAAGATTCCACCAAGTTTTGCGTCAGTAATACGAGCTTGATTTGAACTCCCGATCTAATTACATGCCACTACACTTCCTCTAAAACGAAAAACCCTGCATGCACCACTTCACAGATGTGAAGCGAGCCCTCAATAATTGCTTTTCACTTTAATTATCAAGGATTGGGTTCGATCAAGTTTGGGAAGGTACTTTGGAGTAGATCTAATCGATAAAAAAAAAAAAACAGCATTCTACAAAAATGCGATGCCCGCATTGATCTGAAGCCCAAGTAAAACTGTCCAGAAGCAATCAGAAGTGCCCCCCACCCCACCTTTAGGGTAAGACGCGAATGGGGGGGGGGAATAGAAGAACGAAATGTTGTCACAGTCAAGAGTATTTTCAAGTGCCCAAGTAGCAGAACTCTGGCTTTTCCTGAATCTTAAGAACAAAAGAAGCACTGACGAGCAGATGCGGGAGGGGTAGGGAGGGGGGAGACCTGAAATGGGAAGGGGGTGGTAATCTGGCGTCCTGCACTCCCCAGGTCAATCAAACCGGGGAAAGTGAGCGCCCGAAGCGTGTCCCGATCCCCGGTGAACAGGGCGGAGGCCGGGCGGCGCCCACGTTACCCGACCCGGTGTCCAGGGAGGGAGCAAGGCCCAGCCTGGGATGCGCAGACAAGGAGGGACCCCCAGCCCCACCCCCGTCTCGGGTGGAACGCATCACTACACAGGGGAATGGAGACGACGCACGAGAGCGGCCGGACCTGCCTCTTCTCAGCGTCGCCCGGGAAGGGTGGAGGAGACGGACACAACCCCGGAGCCCGACACCCAGGCTCCCGCCTGAGCGGCTTTGAAACTGCGTGTTCTATCACCTTTGGCTTGGGCGCCACGGCTAATGGACCCCGCGCGAGCCGACCCGCCAATCACAGGCGCGCTTCCTGCCACCGTCAGCCAATGGCGGCGCGCGTTGTTGGAGCGCGGGCGCCGCGGCGCTGCCCGAGCCCGTGTGTATGTGTGTATGTGTGTGTATGTGTGTGCGTGCGCGCGTGTGGGCCAGGCTCCCCGCGGGCTCCCGGGTTGCGGCTGCACTTGCTCCGTAGTTGTGCGGCGGCGGGCTTTTGTGCCGGAACCCCGGCCTCGGCTTTTGTGTGTAACGGACTTTTCCGCTCGGCTTCACCGCCAACTCCTCCTGGGCGGACGCCCGGACGCGACGGTGCGGCCCCGGGCCGGGAGCGAGCCGGAGGAAGCGAGCGGGCGGGCGAGTGAGCGCGGCGGCGGCGGCGGCACGGGCCGGGGAGCCGCGCAGACGCGGAGATGCCCGAATTCCTGGAAGACCCGTCGGTCCTGACGAAGGACAAGTTGAAGAGTGAGTTGGTCGCCAACAACGTGACGCTGCCGGCCGGGGAGCAGCGCAAAGACGTGTACGTGCAGCTCTACCTGCAGCACCTCACGACGCGCAACCGGCCGCCGCCGCTGGCCGCCGGCGGCGCCAACAGCAAGGGGCCGCCCGACTTCTCCAGCGACGAGGAGCGCGAGCCCACCCCGGTCCTCGGCGCCGGCGCCGCCGCGGGCCGCGGCCGCGCCACCGTCGGCAGGGTAAGAGGCTGGACGGCCCCGGGGCCCGGGCCACAAAAGGTGGGCGTTTGGGGGCCGCGCGCGCGCGCGCGCACTCGCTCGCCGCCACCGCCGCCGCCGCCGCGGAGGTCCGGGATACCGGCCGGGGAGGGGAGCTGCAGACCCGCGTCCCGGTGCGCGGGGTGTCGGTGCGTGCGTTTGCGGGAACGGTGGGCGATGTGTTTTGGAGCCCGATGGGGAACGTTTTCCCTCTCAACCCCCCCCCCCCACCCTCTCCGTCCCGGTCCTGGTCCCATCCCCCCCGCCCCCGCCCGGCCCGGGGTGCGGTGTTCAGACCCGGACTTCCGTGCGGGGGCCACGATCAGCTCTCGAGCGCTATAGGTTAAGTTGTAGCGTTTTCCCGCTTTAGTAACTGAAACAGCCCGGCTGCCGGGCCTCGCGCGCCCCCTGGAGGCCAGCGGCCGACCGGCAGATGGATCAGCAGCATTTGAAATAAAGAAATTCCCGCCTTTCTCTCTCCGTTTTGCATACCGAGGGCGTTCGGAGCCGTTGATCTTTCCGGTTTCTTTCTTTTCGTCATTGCTGTTGTAGGTTTCTAGCCGTTCGAACCACAGGCGTCTTTGAAGAAGGGTAGCTTTGTTCTCAGCGTAGTGCTTATAGCTAGAGCTGGAAACCGAGTCAGTTCGTTTGGGTTGGTGAAGGTTTTGTTTTGATTTGTTTCCCCCCACACACACTTTTGTTGTTGTTGTTGTTGATTTTCCTTGAAAGATTCCGAGTCGAAAATGTCTCTGACATTCTGATGTATCGCTAATCATAATTTGAAATGTCTGATCTCAGTTGAATGGCAGATGGCTCCAGCGAAGAATTATTTTTATTTTATCCCCACTCCCCCCTTTTTCGTACATTTTACATGCAATGTTGTTGGCTTGTTGAATTAGCACAATTCAGATCATACAGTTAAAACTTGATGGTGTGTGGTGTGGGGCCATTGGAGTTGGTGCTACTGACAGCTAGCATAATTCAAAATTATTGCTGCCTTTCTTTTTGGTGCTGAGGATTTATGCTCAGAGTGCCCTCAGTCACCAATCTACAACCCTATGGAGAAACTGAAATCTTAAATATCTTAACTGTTTAGAGTATAATAGTGGATGATAAGTACCTGTTCGACAAATAAAAGGCCAGCCATATCTTACTGTTCTGATGCCTTTTTGTATCTTAAAAAAAAAAAAGCCATCTTAAGTAAAAACTTTTAAAGTAAAGCATATTCATATCTATTCTCCCCCATAGATTAAGGTATTCCACCTATTTCAGTACAGATTTGGTTGAAAATGAGATATTTTCCATTTCAGTCAGCACACTTTCAACTCTGCATTGGTCTTTAGTATAAATGTACCAAACCATAAAGTTTTTGGTTGTATGTAAAAATTAAATCTCAGGATTGTTATCCCTTAATTTTGAGTCCTGAATGTGTGCTTTTTACTGAAGATCGATTTCTGAAGCCCTCATTCCATAATAGTTTCATTTCTTAAGATTTAAAAAAATCTGTTATTACTCATAGATCAGTTTGGGGTTGAAAGAAATGAACATTTTTAAGCTCCTACTTTGGGCTTCAGTGTATAACTCAATGGTAGAGCGCTGCTTTATGTGCTTCAGGTCCTAGTTAGTCACCAGCAATTGTAGTATCTAAGGTGTCCAGTGGCATGCAAATCCAGCCCTCAATTTCTTGATCACTACTTTATCCCCTCCCTTTTAGTTCAGACTGCAGGCATCTGGCTTCCATTTTTTTTCTTGTTACCTTGTTTTACTTTGTCATATTCACCTGGAGTGTTGTAGAACACTAAATAATGTGTAAATGGTGTGAATACAATGACTTGAATGTTCACTTAAGAGTCTGCTAAACTTTTTTGTGTGTGTCAGTTGCAGGGCTTGATGTGGGGCAATGGGTGCAGGCCCCTGGGTGCTGTCACTGAGCTCTTTTGCTCGAGGTTGGTACTCTACCACTTTGAGCCACAGTGCCACTTCCGATTTTCTAGGTGTTAATTGGAGATGAGTTTCAGATACTTTCCTGCCTGGACTGGCTTTGAATGGAAATCCTCAGATCTTCACCTCCTGAGTAGAGCTACTCAGAATAGCTGAGTACCTAGGCTTGAGCCTTAGTAAACTTTATTTTTGTCCTGGTTATGGAACTTGAACTTCAGGCCTGGACACTCCCTGAGTTTATTTACTAGTGCTGTACTACTTGAGCCAAAGCTCTGCTTAGGATTTTTTTTTTCTTAGTTGGAGATAAGATTCCCACTGAGCTCACAGCCTCCTGAGTAGCTAGGATTAATGGTTTGAGCCTGGCACCTGCCTTTGAGTACACTTCATTATTTCAGTCAGGAATAGGAAAACATGTCTTGATTCATAAGAAAAGTACTGCAAAGAAGTTATCATAATTGGTATATAAAGTTCTGCGTGGCATGTTGCATGTTCTTTTATTACATACTGTATGTTTTTAGTCATTTAGTCCGATATGAAACAATACATGGTCACAATTCTTTTTTCTTTTTTTTTTTTAGCTTTTTTAATTTTTTTATTTTTTATTTTTTTTTGGTCCAGTCGTGGGGCGTGAACTCTGGGCCTGGATACTGTCCCTCAGCTCTTCAGCTCAAGGCTAGCGCTCTCATGGTCACAATTCTTAAGACAATATTTTACAGTCTGGGAGACAGCAAATTATGTTTGAGAGTGCAGATGCCAGATACACTTTTTTTTTTTTTTTTTTTTAAACAGTGCTGGGATTTGGCAGAAATGCCCTCCCCTCCTTGAACTCAGGGCTTGGGTGCAGTCCCTGAGCCTTTTTGTGCTCAAGGCTAGCGTTCTACCATTTAAGCCACAGCTCCACTTTTGGCTTGTTGTTGGACTTGGAGCTTGAACTCTGGGCCTGGGCACTGTCCCCAATCTCTTCAGCTCAAGGCTAGTGCTCTACCACTTGAGTCACAGCACCTTTTCTGGTGATTAATTGGAGATAAGAGTCTCATGGACTTTTCCTGCCCAGGCTAGCCTTGAACCTCGATCTTCAGATCTCAGCCTCCTGAGTAGCTAGGATTACAGGCGTGAGCCACTGGACGGCTTCGGCTTTTTTTTTTTTTAGTTTATTGGAGGTAAGAGACTCGTGGATTTTACTGCCCCAGGATCTTCAGACCCCAGCCTCCCAAGCAGCTATTGCAGGTGTGAACCACTACCACCATGCTTGCTTCTGGAAGATTTTTAAGTGGTGAATTTTTAACACTTTTTAGACAAATGTTATATGGATTTGGCCAAGAATCAAGAATCGGTGTTTATATACTGTGTACGTTCCATTTAAATGAGCTTTTGAGGGTTTTTCTGTTGTTTGTTTGAGACTGTCTTGCTGTATACAACCCAGGCCTTCATTGTAACTATGTTGCCTATGTAGCCGGGGCTAACCTCCAACTCAAATCAGTCTTTCCCAGTGCTGGCAATACAGTAATGAGCCATCATCCCCAGTGTTAAGAACTTCTTTGTGTGTGTATGCTATTACCTGGGCTTGAACTCAGCTCTTTGTAGAGTGTCCTGGCTCAGCCTTTTCACTCATATCTAGGGCTCTGCCACTTGACCCATACCTCCAGTCTTATGGACATTTCTGCTTAGGCTGACTTTGAACCCCAGCCTCTTTGAGTAGCTAGTATTATAGGCATGAACCCTATATTCATCTTAAAGGAGAAAAACTATATCTGCTGCCTCTACTGTCCTGTCATGGGGGAAAATTGCATGTTAATTTTTTTTAATTTTATGGCTTTATTTTTATGCTTTTTGTTTCACGTATCTTGATATCCTTTTTTTTTTTTGGCCAGTTCTGGGGGCCTGAACTCTTAGGGCCTAGGCACTGCCCCTGAGCTTCTTTTGCTCAAGGCTAGCATTCTATCATTTGAGCTACAGTGTCACTTCTAGTTTTTTCTGTTTATATGGTACTAAGGAATCAAACCCCCCAGGGTTTCATACATGCTAGGCAAGCCCTCTACCACCACATTCCCAGCCCCACCCATGTTTAAGGTTGAAATTATCTACATTGCCGACACAAGTTTAAACATTTACAGAGTTAGGCAATCTGCCTTTTTGGTGCAAGTGGCAAAGCATAAAGGTATAGCTATTAGTCATCCTGTGGGACACATTATGAATTCTTTTTTTTTTTTGGGTCCGGTCATGGGGCCTGAACTCTGGGCCTGCGTGCTGTCCCTCAGCTCTTCAGCTCAAGGCTAGCGCGCTCTACCACTTGAGCCTCAGCGCCACTTCTGGCTTTTTTCTTTTTGCTTATGTGGTGCTGAGGAATTGAATCCAGGGCCTCATGCATGCAAGGCAAGTACTCTACCACTGAGCCACCTTCCCAGCCCCACATTATGAATTCTTGTAGATTAAACCTAGAGGCCTGTGCAAGCTATGTGAACTGAGTATTTTACCACTTAGCTATATCCCCCACCCTTATTATCAACTATTGGAAGTGTTTAGACTGACTTGAAACAGAACAGTGATGGGAAATGTTAGTAATGTTAATCTAATAGCCAATGGTATGATAGAGGATTGAGCTGGGTGCTGGTAGCTCTTGCTTGTAATCCTAGCTAGCTACTCAAGAGGCTGAGATATGAGGATCACCATTCAAAGCCAGTCAAGGCAGAAAAGTCCCTGTGAGACTCTTATCTCCATCTAACCAACCAAAAACCAGAGGTAGAGGTGTAGCTCAAAAGGAGTGGAGTGCTAGCCTTGAGCAAAAGAGCTCAGGGACGGCGCCCAGGCCTGAGTTGAAGTCCCACAACTGCAAAAGAAAAAAGAAAAAGAGGGGCTTGGAAGTTGGCTCAGTGGTAGAGCGCTTGCCTTGCATGCCTGAGGCCCTGGGTTTGATTCCTCAGCACCACAAAAGCAAAAAGAAAAAAAGCCGGAAGTGGCACTGTGGCTCAAGTGGTAGAGCACTAGCCTTGAGCTGAAGAGCTGAGGGAGAGTGCTCAGGCCCAGAGTTCAGGCCCCACGACCGGACCAAAGAAAAAAGAAAAAGATGGCTGGGAATGTGCCTTAGTGGTTGAGTGCCAACCACATAAACAAAAGACCAGAAGTGGCGCTGTGGCTCAAGTGGTAGAGTGCTAGCCTTGAGCAAAAGAAGCACAGGGACAGTGCCCAGGCCCTGAGTTCAAGCCCCAGGATTGGCACAAAAAAAAAAAAAAAGAAAGAAGATTTAATTAGGTTACATATGGAAAGTGCCATTGCTCAGTAACACCTAATCCACATACTGTTTTTTTTGGGGGGGGTTCTGGTCATGGGACCTGAACTCTGGGGCTGGGCGCTGTCCCTCAGCTCTTCAGCTCAAGGCTAGCACTCTACCACTGAGCCACCTTCCCAGCCCTGTTTATAAAATTTTTGTCTTTACTTAGTTCCAAGGTAGCACTGTGCAGTTACTGTATTATAGCTTTCAGAAAGGACAAATATGTGAAAGTGATATGTCTGTTCATATGTTTCTGTATAGCATAGTGTGCATATTTATGGAGTTCGCCTTAGACTTCAGTTTCCTCACTTTGTAGTATGCAGGTGTTAGTATCTCACAGGCACGTGGGTTTTTCTTTTTCTTTTTTTGGTTGGTCGTGGGGCTTGAACTCTGGGCTTAGGTGCTGTCCCTCAGCTCTTCAGCTCAAGGCTAGTGCTCTACCATTTGAGCCACTTACAGCCTTTTCTGTTTATATGGTGCTGAGGTATGGAACCCAAGGCCTCATACATGCAAGGCAAGCGCTCTACCACTGAGCCACCTTCCCAGCCCCTCAGAGGCATGTGTTTTGTGAACCTTGTGCCAGCCCGGGTTACACACAGAAGTCCTGTCCCAAAATTAATTGATTAAAAAATGCATGATAATCATCTGTGCTACAAATGGGAGAAATAAAAGAAATCAGAACTGGTGCCAGTGGCTTATGCCTGTAACCCTAGGTACTTAAGAGGCTGAGACCTGAGGATAGTGATTTGAAGCCAGCACGGGCAGGAAAGTCCATGAGACTCTAATAATCTAGCAGTGGAGCTGTGGCTAAAATGGTAGAGCACTACTCTTGAGTACAAAAGCTCCAGGATTCAGGGACAGCATCCACGTCCTGAGTTTTAAGTCCTAAGACCAACACACATGCGCCAACCCAGTGTAAATGAACTTTGATTCTAACTGATTTACCTTACGTGAGGCTTTTTGGGGTTTTCTTTTGCCCACTTATTCTATGGATCAGCTGAATTTTATTTGCTTTTTTATAACCATCCTGGGGCTTGAACTCAGCCTATGTGCTGTCCCTGAGTTTATTACTACTCTACCACTTGAGCCACAGCTCCACTTCTGGCTTTTTGGTGGTTAACTGAAGATAAGAGTTTCACAAACTCCTAACCAGGCTGGCTTTGTTTGAACTGCAATCCTCAGATCTCAGCCTCCGGAGTAGCTAGGATTACAGGTGTGAGTGAACCACCAGAACTGAGTTCTTAATTATGGAGGAGGATTGAATTGAACCAGGGCTTCACACATGCTAGAAAAACACTGCACTTTTTGTTATGCTATAGACTAGATCATATCTAATAAGAAAAAAATTTTAAGTGATTAATTTTTCCCACCCAGATTGCATTTTCATTTATTTGACAAAATATCAAGTGCTTGTTCTTATTCTAGGTTCTGTTATACATTGGGATAAAAATATGAAGATGCTTTTACTTTCTGATGCCCTCTTAATTGATGCCTTCAAATTAGTTGGACAGCACATTAAAATGGAGATTCTCAGGCTCTCTGATTCATAATCAGAATAGAGCAAGATGTGTATGCTTGTATGTGCCTGTGCTGTCCTGTGGCTTGAATTTGAATCCTGGGGTGCTGTCCCTGAACTTTTTTGCTCACGGTTTTATGGCTAGCATTAAAGGCATGAGCCACCGGCGCATGGCCTTGTTTCAAATTTTTATTTGTTAAAAACAAACTAGTGCCAGGTACTGGTGGCTCATGCCTGTAATTCTAGCTACTCAGGAGACTGAGATCTGAGGAATGTGGTTCAAAGCCAGCCCAGGCAGGAATGTCTGTGAGACTCTTATCTCCAGTTAACCATCAGAAGCCTGGAAGTAGCACTGTGGCTCAAGTGGTAGAGTACTCACCTTGAGCTGAATAGCTGAGGGACAGCACCCAGGCCCAGAGTTCAAGCCCCATGACCAAAAAAAAAAAAGTTCATTGTCAGACAATGCCCAGTTTCATTACCCCAGTATTAATTAGAAAGTCAACTATTAGCCTGGCGCTAGTGGCTTATGCCTGTAATCCTAGTTACTCAGGAGGCTGAGATCTGAGGATCAGGGTTCAAAGCCAGCCCAGGCAGGAAAGTTCATGAGACTCTTTATTTCCAATAAACCACTAGAAAACTGGAAGTGGTGCTGTGGCTCAGGCAGTAGAGCACTCGCCTTGAGCTGAAGAGCGCAGGGACAGTACTCAAGCCCAGAGTTCAAGCCCCACAACCGACCAAAAAAGAAAGTAAACTATTCTTATACAACTTTCTAATTTAAACAACTAGTGTTTGTTCTGTACTCTTCTCTCAGGGATTACTGAGACCTTTGTAAGGTTATTTGCCCCAGTCTTTAAAAAGCACCCACATTTTTGTTGAGTTCACATATTTAACTTAGAGAATATGTATAGTTTTTCTGATGAATGCTGTCATCGCTTAAGTTGGAATTTTTCTTTGACACATAAAGCTGTGTCTGAGGTGATAAGTAACTATGAAATCTCTCAGACTTGAGCCATAGCACCACTTCTGGTTTTCTGGTGGTTAATTGGAGATAAGAGTCTCTCCAACTTTCCTGTCCAAGCTGGCTTTGAACTGTTATCCTCAGCCTTCTGAGTAGCTAGGATTATAGGCGTGAGCCACCAGCGTCCAGCTGAGTTTAAAATTTTCCTGGATTAATTCAAATTTCAAGAGTATGCCAGGGTACATTGCGTTTATGATGGCTGGGATGAGAATGTGTAAACCAGGTTTGACTTCAGTTTGCAAAATTTCCTTTTCTTTCAAGAATTAGTATGCTTAAGATTTAAGCTGAGCATTGCTGGCTCACATCTGTAATCCTAGCTACTTAGGAAGCTGAGGATTGTGGTTTAAAGCCAGCCTAGTCAGAAAAGTCCTCATGAGACTCAAATAAGTAATACCACCCAAAATCAATTAGTTATGCTTTGTTTCATATGATCTTGAATTTTGTTTGTTATATCAGTACTAAGGGTTAAACTGGAGGCCTTGCTCTCATGGCTGGTGCTTTAACTCCATTTCCAGGGATTAATTGGACATTCTAGTTTCTTGGATTTGTCTGCATGGGCAGGTTTCAGTCCCAGCTTCTTTGAGTAACTAGGAATACATGCATGATCCTCTAGTGTCCAGCTTGATTTTGAATTTTTGAATTTTATTACCTCTTTAGATATGTTCAAATTTTAACAGGCCTTGAATTCAAGCCCCTCAATACTTGAAATTAAACAAATTACTTATGTAGTTGTAGGTGTATTTGTGCCTTATATTGTGTATACAGAGTATACAGTGTGTTTAGTAAATGAACACTTTGATTCACGAGGAGATAATAACCTGACTCTATTTACAGAAAGCCACAAAGAAAACTGATAAATCCAGAGTAGAAGATAAAGATGACGTTGATGTAACTGAGCTCTCTAATGAAGATCTTCTGGATCAGCTTGTAAAATATGGAGTAAATCCTGGTCCTATTGTGGGTAAGTTGTTAGAATATCAATCTTTTTTGGGGGTGGGGGGCCACTCTTGCCTAGTAGTTAGAATTTGGGTGCCAGTAGCCCACAGGTAATAGTTTAACGAGCTATAGTTTGCTCTGGTATGGGACACTTTGAGAAGCCCAGGGGGATGGGCCTGCCATAAATCCAACCCATGCATAGAATTTGGATGCTAGTGATGACTCACACATGTAATCCTAGCTACTCAGGAGGCTGAGACCTGAGAATCACTTTTCCAAGTCAACCCAGGCAGAAAACCATTAACCCCTCAAAAACCGGAAGTGGAGCTGTGGCTCAAGTGGTAGAACACTACCACCCTTGAGTATGAAGAGGCTCAGGGACAACCCAGGCCCTGAGTTCAAGTCCCACAATTGATAAGACAAAAAAATAAAAAGGAATTTGGGTCCTGAGAGCCAGTTTCATGAATTGTTTATAGGATCAGTTAAGACTTGAGGTTCCGGGGCTGGGAAGGTGGGTAGCTCAGTGGTAGAGTGCTTGCCTTGCATGCCTGAGGCCCTGGGTTCAATTCCCCAGCACTACATAAGCAAAAAGAAAAAAGCCGGAAGTGGCACTGTGGCTCAAGTGGTAGAGCGCTAGCCTTGAGCTGAAGAGCTGAGGGACAGCGCCCAGGCCCAGAGTTCAGACCCACGACCAGACCCCCCCCAAAAAAAAAAGACTTGAGGTTCCTTAATATTGAAGGAGATCAAAATGAGAGAATTGAACTAGATAATCTCTAAAATTACCTGTGTTGAGACTTTTTAATATGATTATTGTACCACTATCTGGTGAGACCGGATATGGGTCTTATATGACAAGTTGAAGAAAGTGTGAACTAAAATACTTGGCCAGTTCATACAAATTAATAAGTAAAATAATAGCTTTGAAGAAGTCCTGAACAAACTAAAGAGTGAACTTAGACTAAATATACACTAGGTTTTGTTTTAAGTATAGTTGCAAACAAGGATTTATAGTGTTATAATTTATATACTACTTCCAGATAAATAAGTTTATTAACATTGCCAGTGGACATTTGATACCATCTTTGATTTTTTTTAAATTCTAAAATGGCTGGAGATGTGGCTAAGACACATGTCTAGTACATGTGAGATCCTGAATTCAAAAAAGACTTGAAAATGTACATGATGTCAACATAAATAAATCACCTACCGTTCATCTTAAAGCTGCTTAGATAGTGCTACTAGATATGTGTTTTTTGTGACGACAAGTACCCACTCTTGATTTTACTCTCCTTATAGACACTAAAGAATGTTGCGCAGCTATAAGAAAGCTATTTATGGGCTGGGAAGTTGGCTCAGTGGTATTGCTGGTAGAGCGCTTGCCTTGCATGCCTGAGGCCCTGGGTTCGATCCTCAGCACCACATAAGCAAAAAGAAAAAAAAGCGGAAGTGGCGCTGTGGCTCAAGTGGTAGAGCGCTAGCCTTGAGCTGAAGAGCTGAGGGACAGTGCCTAGGCCCAGAGTTCAGGCCCACAACCGGACCAAAAAAAAAAGAGAGCTATTTATAATTAAATGGCTACTCAAATATTAATCTTAGTGTCATGAGATGTAATCATATTTTTCAGGTGTACCATCTGTTTCTTATATATATTTTATTATATGTGTGTGCGCACACGTGTGTACACATTGGTAAATAATTCTTTGTATCTTGAGAGAATATATAAAATCCAAGACTTGGTGTGAAAAATAGTCATATAGGCTTGGCGTGGTGGCACATACTGCTACTTGGAAGGATTACAAGTTCAGGGCCAGCCCAGGCAAAGTTAGCAAGACCCTGCCTCAAAAAGAAAAGGTAAAAAACAATGGCATGTGGTTCTTCAGTAGGTTATTTCCAGTAATACTTTTACCATTCTACAGTGTATTACATGATATTGAAGGGAACATTATATCATTAACATCCCCATCCCAAAAATCTGTCTTAGAAAAGAGTACATTATATATTTAAAGCACTTAAGTTTAGTAAAGATAGAATGAAACTAAGCATGTAATGTTTCCTAAGCTAGAGCTATGTAAATGGTCAAATAAATTTTGCCTTAAAACAGGAACAACCAGAAAGCTCTATGAGAAAAAGCTGTTAAAACTGAGGGAACAAGGACCAGAATCAAGATCTTCTACTCCTCTTCCAACAATCTCTTCTTCAGCAGAAAATACAAGACAGAATGGAAGTAATGACTCTGACAGATACAGTGACAATGAAGAAGGTAAAATTTAATCTCCTTCCTCAAATATGTCTAATTTTTTTTCAGACTCATAAAATACAATGGCCACAAAGTAAAGTTTACAACAATATTAGTAAGATATAATGAAAATTTTGTTCATATCATTAGTTTAATTCTCTCGAGTAATTTAAATAGTTTTTTTGTTCAGAATTCTCAGAAACAACAAAAATACAAATGTGTAATTGTCTGTTATCTAAAATTGTCAGTTAATCCTTTTCAAATTCATTTTTCGTAAAAACAGTTTCCTTCTCTTGTCCTTTGCCATTACCACTACTGTCATTAATTTGATGTTTTTCTTTCCAATTTAATTTTTGGTACTTCCTCATCTATTATTACATGTTATTGTTTTGTGCTTTTAAAAATTCTGTAAGTAGTATAAGTCACAATTAGTATTTAACTTTCATATTTTTAATATGTGTTCTTACTGTTACATATCTAATCTAATTTATGGTAGTAGTATGATATTTTCAGCTCTGTTGATAGACAATTAAATTGTTGGATGTTTTTGGTAAATCTGATTTCACAGAAACTTTAAAACAGTATTTTGACCATATTTTATAATGTAAGAAAATTTCAACGAGTTTTTAGATATTTTTGAGAGTAGTACACAAGATAAATATCATTTTAAAAACCGTAAGTTTAGCCGGGCGCTGGTGGCTCACGCCTGTAATCCTAGCTACTCAGGAGGCTGAGATCGGAGGATCACGGTTCAAAGCCAGCTTGGGCAGAAAAGTCCGTGAGACTCTTATCTCCAGTAAAACCACTAGAAAACCGGAAGTGCTGCTGTGGCTCAAGCGGTAGAGCGCTCACCTTGAGCTAAAGAGCGCAGGGATAGTGCCCAAGCCCAGAGTTCAGGCCCCAAGACTGACAAAAAAAAAAAAAATCCTTAAGTTTATTTTACTTGTAAACTTTTAATTTATGACTTATTCTAGTGACTATTTAATTTTGTCCAAGTTGCTTTTATCTCTGTAAGCAATGCCTTTCAAGGCACAGTCTACTGAATTGGTTACTTAGAAGGTAAAATGTAGTCTCTTCCTTCAACAGCACTATTTTTTTAGCAAGGAGGCACAGAATAAGATCAGCTCAAACACAAGTAATACTTCCTGCCTCTTTTGCCTCTACAGGAAAGAAGAAAGAACACAAGAAAGTGAAGTCCACTAGGGGTTTTGTTCCTTTTTCTGAACTTCCAACTACTCCCTCTGGTGGATTTTTTCAGGGTATCTCTTTTCCTGAAATCTCCACCCGTCCTCCTTTGGGCAGGACTGAACCACAGGCAGCTAAGAAAGTACATACTTCAAAGGGAGATACACCTAGAGAGTCTCTTGTTGCCACAACCTTGCCTGACAAGAGACAGGTGCAGAAATTAGCCTCTGGAGAGAGATCAGTTATTTCTTCCAAATCTAGCCATGGTAGATGCTTAGAAAAAAGTTCTCCATCATCTTCTCAGCCTGACCTTGCTGCCATGTTGGTTTCAGCTACAGCTTCTCCTTCAGTGATTCGAGAAACCACTACTACTTACTCTAAAGACATAGTAGAAAATATTTGCCATGGAGGGAAAGGTAGAATTCAGCCGTTGCATCCTGAGAGGTCTGATAATTCAGGTCATTCAGTTCTCTCCAGTGAAAGAGAAGTACTACAAGAGTCAAAGAGGTCACAGGTAATATCTCCACCACTTGCTCAGGCAATCAGAGATTATGTCAATTCTCTGCTAGTCCAGAGTGGAGTCGGTAGTTTGCCAGGAACCTCTAACTCTGTACCCACCTTGGATATAGAAAGCATATGCAAGAAAATTGGCCAGTCTGATCTTCAAGAAACTGAAACTATGTCTCCTCCACAAAAGTTGTCTAGACTCAGTGAGAAGTCAGTAGGGAAAGGGGATTCAGGTTCCTCTATGGCATCTCAGAACGTACCTGAATCAGAACAGATGTCTTCTTTGGCTAAAACCGTTGTGTCTCATTCACTTACTACCTTAGGCATAGATATGTCTAAGCAATCACAGAGTGATAAAATAGAACTGTCCTCAGAACTATCCTTTCCCTTCCATGAGTCTATTTTAAAAGTAATTGAAGAGGAGTGGCAACAAATTGACAAGCAGCTGCCTTCATTGGCATGCAAGTATCCAATTTCTTCCAGAGAGGCAACACAGATACTATCAGTTCCAAAAGTAGATGATGAAATCCTAGAGTTTGTTTCTGCAGCCACCCCACCAGCAGGTAATCAGGCAGCCTCCACTGAGTCTTGTAATAAACACTTGGACCTAACACTCTGTAAAACTTACGAAGCTGCAGCATCAGCATTACGGATTGCAACCCACACTGCTTTTGTAGCTAAGGCTATACAGGCAGACATCAGTCAAGCTGCACAAATTCTTAGTTCAGATCCTAGTTGTGCACACCAGGCACTCAACATTCTAAGCAAAACATACGATGCAGCCTCGTTTCTTTGTGAAGCTTCATTTGATGAAGTGAAGATGGCTGCCTGTACCATGGGATGTTCCACTGCTGGTCGCCGTCACCTTTGGTTGAAGGATTGCAAAATTAATTCAGCATCTAAGAACAAGCTGACGGTTGCCCCCTTTAAAGGTGGAACATTATTTGGAGGAGAAGTACACAAAGTAATTAAAAAGCGTGGCAATAAACACTAATAGTCAAAAACAAACACATCTATCTTACCTTTGATTTAGAGAACTTAGAGCTTTTCTAGGCTCTTTTATGCCAAAACTTTCTTTCTGGATTTGGGATTGAGCTAGTAATATATAAAAATAATTTCATAGAATTGCTTTTTATTTTTAAGGTTTGCAGAGAGCTCAGAAAAACACTTTTAAGCTTTAGAGATCATGTATTTGTCTCAAATCATTCACTGTTACTATACTCCTAACTTTTTAAAACTAAGAAAACTCCTGTAACAAATACACGTCTCCACTGTTTTTAACAGTAATAACCCTTGATACCTAGGATAGAATTAAACACTTGCACATTCCAAACAATGTTTTTTTTTTTCTGAATATCTTTCACTTTCTAGCAATTTTCACACTTTTGTTCTTTTTGTCTGCAGCATTGTTTGTAATATTCTAGATCAGTTCAGCTCAAAAGTATGAGTCCATAACTCTTATACAGATAAGCATGAGACTGTTTGAGTTTAAGTAGCTATGGGTGTAGTTCAGTAGTAAGAGCATATGCTTAACATGTAGGAGGCTCTGGGTTCATTTCCCAGCACCAAAAGAAATTCTTTTAAGAAAATGAAATTAAAGAAATAAAAGAACGTTGAGGTGTTTTAAGCCAAAGATAGGATGTATTTTTGCAGTAAGCTTTTACTGATAAGAAAGCAGTATTCAGTGTACCTTCTCAAATAGGTGTCTCATCTCTTCCTGCACGGGTAGCTATCAGTTCATGCATGGGTCATACTAGTCTGGACCACACTTTGAGGAACTCTGCTTCTGCCATTGTGCATGCTCATTCATCATCATTATTTTGTCAGATAAATGAAACACTAGAAAGATGGGATTTCTTTTAATATATATAATTTCTTTCATGTATGTTGTATTTTGTGGATTATTATGGCTTACCAATCTGTATGGTAAAAAGGACCTTCTTTAAAAAAAAAGTCCTGAGAAATCGTACTTTCTTCCAGTGTCTGTATAAAGCAATGTGTATATTCTGTTTTCATTTCTCTGATTGTAAGGTAAGGGTGTTTATCTAGAGGCATGTGAAAAGTAACATAACAAATATGGTGCCATGGATACTCATCTAGCCATTACCTTGTTCTTAGACTACACATTCCATCTTTGCAGTTTTCTGGAGTAATTTTGTTGTGTGTTTTCCAAAATGTACATGTGTCCATGTGCCTAAGTTCTGTGTGACTTAAAAAAATGTATTCCTGTAGAATGCTTCTGCAAATTCAATAAAGTTGGTTAAATTTGAACAGTTCTGTGTGGTCTCCAGAAACATGTTGTATGTCTGTTTTATTATGGAGTTAAAACAAGTTTAATATTTGTAAATGAGCGTCCTTTTTCCCTTCACCATTAAAACTCACCTAACTTACAGTGTTGGGGTTTATTGGGGGGTGGGGGAGTCCCTGAGGCTTGAACTCAGGGCCTGAAGGCTGTCTTTGAGCTTTTGTGATTAATTAGAGATAAGAGTCTCAGACTTTACTGCCTAGGCCAGTTTTAAGTTAAGATCCTCAGATCTCAGCCTCCTGAGTAGCTAGGACTAAAGGCATGAGCCACCAGCACCCATCTCCAGTGAAGTTATGGAAAGTGCTGTAATTATTGTTGTGTGGTTTGTTCCATGTTTTAGTTGGCTGTTGGAATATAAATTTATGAGAGGAATTTGTAACCAGATTCTTTTGTCTAATGAGTTCTGATTGACTAATAGATTTAAATTTTTGTTTTGTAATTTGTAGATTCTGAGTTAAAGCATAAAGTAGGTTTTATAACGATAATTGTACAAAACAGATGTATTGATTGGCTGATAGGAGATGGGAATGAAGTTGATAAGTTAGTCTTAAATGAAAATTGAACTGTTTGAATTAATCTGGTAAAATTCAGTTTCTTTTCGGGGGGAAACTTGCAAGTAGATTGTCAGACTGGAAAGTTGATCAAAACATACCATAATTACCTTTTAGCATATCATTAACTTCATGTAAAATGAAGCTTTGTTTATATAGATTTGACCCTTTTTTCTTTTTCTTTTTTTAAGTGTTGTACTGGAGTTTGAACTTCTTAGAGCCTCTCACTTGTTAGACTAGTACTGTACCACCAGAGCCCACCTAGCCCTACACTATGATAAGTGGCCATAAAAAAATGGAGAAATGTACTTATTATTTATCTGTCTTTATTTATTTACCACAGAATCCACTATGTATGTATTCCAGGCTGGTCTTGAACTCAGGATCCTCCTGCTTCAGCCTCCCGGTGCTGGGATTAGAAGTTTACTACTCCAATTAGCAGGAATTTACTATTTTAATCTTTGTACATCTTTAAATGGTGAAGGAAGAGTGGAGATGTTAAAATGTACCTTTGTATTGTTGGGTTAATGACTTTTATTTTCAGATACATTTTATCATGGAAAAAAAGGGAAGAGAAACAACCTTTGGTTGTATTTGAGAACAAAATTCTTTTTACCTCTGTTGTATTCAAGTCTTATGTATCTATAGCAAAAGGTCTTATTTCTCTTTTTTCATGTTTTGGTGTTTGGGATTGAACTCAAAGCCTTACATGAAGCATGAGCTACAGCTCTGGTTGAAAATCACTATATGTTAACCTTATTGGCAGTTACCATTCATTGTTATTGAAAGCGTGATGCCACGCAGGCCTTTTTGACTCTTAAACTTCTCTCTTTCCCTATACTTTTTTTTTTCTTTTTTTGCCAATCCTGAGGCTTGAACTCAGAGCCTAGGTACTATCCCTGAGTTTGTTTTTGCTTAAGGCTAGCACTCTATCACTTGAGTCAGTGCCACTTCTCCAGCTTTTTCTGTTTATGTGGTACTGAGGAATCAAACCCAGGGCTTCAGGCATGCTAAGCAGACACTCTACCACTAAGCCACCTTTCAGCCCTCCAGCTTTTTGATAGTTAAATTAGAGATAAAGGGTCTCAGGACTTTCCTGCCTGGGCTGGCTTTGTACTGGGGCCATGATTCTTATACCTCAGCTTACTAAGTAGCTAGGATTACAGACTTGAACCATTGTCACCCAGCCCATATACCAAATTTTAATTTGTGTGCCAATATTTTGAACTCACGGCCTTATACTCTAGCTTAGCTTTACTTTGCTAGTACTTTATACTTCCAGTTCCAGCTTTTTGTTATTTTATTGGAGAATTAAAAGTCTGGAATTTTTATCTTCCCAATCTGGCTTTGAACCTCAGTACTCAGATTTCAGCCTCCTGCACAGCTAGGATTACAGGTGTGAGCAACCAGCACCTAACCCAGATTTTAATGAGATAGATGTATTACATGGACTCCTCCCTCCCCCAGAGTGGTAACTAGAAATTGGATTTAATGAAAAGCCTTCTTGAGCAGTCTGAATTCACTTTTATATTTAAAGCTGTTAGGTTAAATAAAAGGAGGGAATAGGAAAAATTAGTATCACATGAAAATGGAATGAAATAGCAAAAGGCTTTCTGTAAGACAGTTTTAAGAATTTTTTTTTGTGTGTGTGTGTCAGTCATGGGGCTTGAACTCTGGGCCTGGGCACTGTCCCTGTACTCTTCAGCTCAAGGCTAGCACTCTACCACTTGAGCTACAGCACCACTTCCGGTTTCCTGGTGGTTAATTGGAGATAAGAGTATCAGATTTTCTTGCCTGGGCTGGCTTTGAGCCAGGATCCTCAGATTTCAGCCTTCTAAGTAGCTAGGATTACAGGCATGAGCCACCAATGCCCAGCTAAGAAATAATTTTGGTATTATCAGTATACAAGCTTCTATGTATTAAAGTGCCTAAAAGCAGGATTCCAAATTAATACCAGGAAAACATAATTGAGTGTTTCAGAGAGTAATGATTTCTCTAATGTTATTTCCAGACTCCAAAATAGAACTCAAACTTGAGAAGAGAGAACCACTAAAGGGCAGAGCGAAGACACCAGTAACACTCAAGCAAAGAAGAATTGAGCATAATCAGGTATCTTTAGTTTTATAACTCTGTACAGGTATAATCTGACCAACATTCACCATGTCTTGTGTTTTGGCCTTTGATTAATAATAGTTGACACCACATTTCCAACTTACCCAGTAAACTTAGTTTCTTTGTTAAATTGTATGGAATTTGTCCATAGCATATCCTGTATTTATTGCAAAATTGTGTTGCATGAATATCTCATTTGTGTTTCTATGCCAAGCATGGTTCAAAACTAGTCATTTACGTTTCTACCTTAGACATACGCATATAGGCTAAGGATTGAACCCAGGATCTCTCCCAGGCTATGGTCATGCTGCTTTGTGAAAGAAATTCTTCCCTCCCTCCTCCCTCCACCCCCTCCCCCAGGCTTGGGTCTGAAGTCTGGTCCTGGGCACTATCCCTGAGCTTCTTTTGCTCAAGGCTAACCACTTGAGCCACAGTGCCACTTTTGGCTTTTTCTGAGTAGTTTATTGGAAATATGAGTCTCATGGACTTCCTTGCCTGGGCTAGCTTTGAACCATGATCCTCAGATCTCAGCCTCCGGAGTAGCTAGGATTACAGGCGTGAGCCACTGGCATCTGGCTCCTTTGTTTACTTTTTTTTTTTTCTTTTTGGGTTTGGTCGTGGGGTCTGAACTCTGGGCCTGGGCACTGTCCCTCAGCTCTTCAGCGCAAGGCTAGCGCTCTGCCACTTGAGCCACAGCACCACTTGGGCTTTTTTTTCTTTTTGCTTATGTGGTGCTGGGGAATCGAACCCAGGGCCTCATGCATGCAAGGCAAGCACTCTACCACTGAGCCACCTTCCCAGCCACCTCCTTTGTTTACTTTTGCCTGTAGTTTTTTCCAAAACTCTGAAGCTATTTTGGTCCTAAGACTACATAATTGTTTCTTTCTTATGATGGAAATTTGCCTTTTTTGTTGTTGTTGTGGAAGATACAATAAGGTAGTTTTTACAAAAGAAAAATGTAGGAAACTAAGAGGAAAATAAACAGGTGTGAATGAACTAGTTTTCTGAGAACAGTCTTAATTTAGCAGTTTGGCTGATAATACAGACAACCCTAAAATCTTTTTCCTTACCTTTGCTGATTAGCTGGAAATTTTGTCAAATTATTTTCTATCCCATTTTCTTGTTTTTGTTTTTGGTAAGGGTTACTTGGTGGTAAAACAGAGCCTTATGCATGCTAGCCAGGTTCTACCACTAAGGTATGTTCACAGTCCTCGGTCATTTTAAAATCTCATTTTGGAGATGTTCTTGATTTTTTTCTTTTAGCATGTACTTTTCACTTGGCATAGAAGTATTTTATTAAAAATGTTTGGTGATTGGAGAACATAGAGCTATAAGATTTTTTTTTTTGCCTTTGATATTGCTAGCAAAGACCTATAAAAGCATGCTAAAAAGTAAGGAAATTACAGAAGAGCAACTAGAAAATCTTGTAAGATATTGAAATAGACAAGCATAGAAAACTGGTTAGAATGTGATTAGGATGCAAGATAGTTTAGTGCCAAGAAGAGAGTCTTCAGATAACAAGATTAAAAGGAGAGAATTAAGATGGTTTAACAGGATTTTGAATTGGAGAATCCCAGCTGAAGAGCATGGTAGTCAAAAGAAAAGTTTAGATTTAAAAGGTGATAGGCAGAATTCAATAATGGCCTAATTACAAAAAAATAAGAAAAGTAGAGGGAAGATTTAAATTGTAGTTAACAGATGATCACACTAGTTATACTGTTTTTTAAATTGTTTTTTGTTTTGTTTTGTTTTTGCTGGATTATATTCAAACAGACTTCTGACATGTCATTTCATGCACTAAAAGATATTTACTATGTCCACTATGCCTCCTAGTAAAAGTAATTCTTTTCTAATCAACATTCAAATTCTTCCACTCTCTGAAATGTCTGATTTACAATTACATTGTTAAAATCAAGATTGTAGTAATACCTACATATCATTATATGTTTTACCTATTTTTTTAAAACAATAAGCCTGGGGCTGGGAAGGTAGCTTAGTGGCAGAGTGCTTGCCTTGCATGCATGATGCCCTGGGTTTGATTCTTCAGCACCACATAAACAGAAAAAGCCAGAAGTGACGCTGTGGCTCAAGTGGTAGAGTGCTAGCCTTGAGGTGAAGAGCTGAGGTACAGCACCCAGGCCAAGCCCCACAACCAAAAGGAAAAAAAAAAATTTACAATTAAAACATTAAACCTGAGCCAAGCATGATGTATAGTCACACCTATAAGCCCAGCATTAGATAGACCAAGGCAAGAGAACCTTGAGTTTAAACATAGCCTGGACTACATAGTAAATTCTAGGCCA